TTGACAGTGTCTGATTCATTAGAACTAAGAGGCCTAGCACCCCCTTATTGCTACAAATATATATATATATATTTTTTTTTTTTAACCTTTTTTCTTAAGAAATGTCTATTAGAATAATGAGTTAACAAAAATTGCAATAAATATAAGATCAAAATTACTAAAATATCGTAATTTACTTACGTTGAAAATAATTTAAAGGCACTTAATAAGTAACAATTTTTTTTTTTTTTAAATTTATGACTAGGGGCCCCTCATTTCTAGATCAGGCCCAGATCATTTAAAATGTTTTATTTTTACTGTCTATATAAAACTAATTGCCGCACACGAAACCTAATTACAGAAGGCAACAGTCTTGACCACAGGACACAACTGGCCAACTGAGAGTCGCTGCCGTTTTTTGCTTGCAATGGAAAGAAAGCTCAGAGGTATTTCTTTCAGAAATATGCAGGCATAGATTAATAGTTAAGCCAATATCGACCTATATACTGCCAATATAGCTTATAGCGGCTGAATAAGGAATTTAAAATATCGGGTGAATCTAACAATTCCATATAGGACCGATATTGGTTGTAAACAGTCTGTAAAATATCAGGTGAAACTAACAATTCTATAAAGGACCGATATTGGTTGTAAAGTGTCTGCAAAATATCAGGTGAAACTAACAATACTATATAGGACCGATATTGGTTGTAAAGTGTCTGTAAAATATCAGGTGAATCTAACAATTCTATATAGGACCGATATTGGTTGAATCAGGTCATATCGGGTGAATCAGACCATTCTACACAGGGCCCATATTGGAAAATATCGCATATTTAGGCAGGATTTGTGAATATTGGACCAATGGGGGTCAAGTTATTTTGCTACTAGGGCAGTTATTTAATTAAAAATGTTTTAAAATTGACATTGCATTCAAATGAAAACTGGGCCTACTTTGAGATTCACATGAATAAAGCACCATTCTATTCACGTTGTAATTTTTGTGGCCATAATAAATAACGGCCATTTGTAGCCTTATTGATCCAAGATTCGTGAATATTGGTCCAATAAGGGCCCAAGTTATTATGCTGCTAGGGCACCCACGAAACGTAACACAATAGACCAGATGTTCGTATCCATATCATTTGGAAACTCTACGGAAATTAGTTTTGAGACACAGAAGACTACTGTGTCTCAAAATGAACAAAAGAGTTTTGCTCAGTACTAAAATGTAATGAGAGTATTGTTTTTCCTTGATGGCCTCCATTTAGCAGCAAAAATAAGCTAGAGAAAAAATTTTCAGTAAAATTGTCTCCAGCTCAGCGCATAAATCTTTTTTTAAATATGAAATTTTTTAAAATTGTAAAACTCAGACACTATTTCACCAATTTCGTTCACATTCTGCATTTTGAAATTACATATTTTAAAAAGTAAAATGGTACACCTTTCAAAATTCTTTCGGCTTTATCATTAAACAAAATAAAAAAATCATCATCAAAAAGTATTTTTTGCATGGAAATTATTTTTAAATAAACCATTTTTTTAATTGTCGTGCAAAAATAGTTCGATTCGCTTAAAAAGCTCTTCGAGCAATAGCAAATTTAAAACAAATTAATCTTTTCTTTAAAATAAATTAAAATAAGCATTAATTTGAAGAAAAAAAAGATATTCTAAATCAGAGAATGAACATTTATGTGTTTGATTTTGTAATTTAAAATATCGTGTGCAATAATTAATTAGCATGCTTAAGATTATCCCCTTTTAAATTGAGCATTAGTAGTGAAAATTCGATCATTATATCAAACGTTATTTTAAGTTGTGTTTTTTTCCTGCATAGGTTATTAGTTTTAAAGTAAGATGGAAATTAGTTGAACATGAAAGTAAAGATAAGATTTTCTTTTTTTAAATAAATGGAGTAGGTCTACTATTCAAATGAAGTCTTCATCTATCCTCAAAAAATAAGTTCTGATAACAAAATTTTTGTCTTAATTCATGTAATTGAACTCACTTGTGTTGATCAGCAATTTTTAGATCAACTTTCAATATACTTAAATCTTTGCTATTTGGGCTGACTAATTGAAATGAATGTCAAGATTAAATTTGTTTTCAAATATTATATCTACTAATTGTTAAAAGAGTTATGAAAACTGATAAATAATTCTTTAAAATTATTGAGAAGTACTTTGATATTGCGCATCATAACACTGCAATTTGAGACATTTATTATTTCAAAGAGTTTATTTTCAAATCCATGAAATACCCAAATCAAAAACATCATTTTTTCCCCCTCAAACTGCCCAGGTGAATAAAACCAACTGATTGCTAATGAGGAGCCAACAGTATCTATTCAGGCAGTAGAGTAGCTGATGCTCTAAAGCTGAAATTATTGAGCTAACTTGAAATATGCTCAAAACTACACAACATTTTTAAAATATGCAATATTTTCCTTAAAAATTTTAAAAGGTAGAATGCACTTTAACAAGATATGTTAAAATAAACTTATATCTTTTTCATAATATTTTTAAGGACCAAGATTTTTAGATGTAAGTAAGGTAAAAAAAATATATAACTAATATATTAGTTACATAATAATATATTTTAATATATATAAATATATAACTCTTAAAAAGTACACTTTACAAGTTATATGGTTTATAAATCACATTAAATCATCATTATGAAAGCATAATTAAAAAATATATACACCTATTGGGAGTATATTCATGTATGTTAGTTGCGCATGTGTTTATGTACTAAATTCCATATGTGTATTAAAAAAAAAAATTTAGATAAAGCTACTGGGTTAAAAAAAAAACAGCAGGTAATTCAAACTGTAACTGTATTTAAATTAAATGGCACAATCTCATTAAAATTATAATCTTAAATAAACAAATGCAATTTATTAACTGATTAGCTAACTAAAAACAACAAAATGATTGCTAAATATTTATTGCAATCTTCCATTAATTTATCAACAAAAACAATAGGTAAATCAACCTAACTGATATGAAACAATTGTGAGATAGATCAAAAATATTAACCAGATAAACTTTTGATAGTGCATGGCTTTTTTTATGAGATACATAAAATATGAATATGTGATAAGAAAAATTTTCTATGACAGAAATGAAATGACACAGGGGTGGTGTAAAAAGAACTTTTAAATTTTGGTTGCACCTACACATTGAAATAAGAGAGCACAAATGAATCATTAAACAAATGGAGTCTGTGATGATGTTTTGTTTTCTATAGCAATTTAAACAGATACATGTTTTCATGCCTTCAGTCTGATTCATTTAATACATTTCTATACAAATATTTCATTCATATTGGTAATAAGAAAATATGTTGCAAAACTTGTGACTTTATTGGCCAATAACTAATTCATAGCCATTAAAACTCACTATTCTTTATCTGTGTATAAAAAAATCCTAGAAAAAGAAATTTCAACAAAATTGCTCAGCGCTCACCATAAAATTTAAAAACCATGTTTTTTTAAAAAAAAACATATAATTAGATGTAAGAAACATTTACTATTTTTTATTTATTTTATTACTCAGCTTAGAAAATACAAAATTTAATGAAAATAACTTCATTTTGCCAGATTATTAAAATAAAATAAAAAATTTAAATTATCTTTGAAAAATATATAGAATTTCGTTGCCAAAAATTTTGAAATAGTTGTGTTAAAATTATTAATATTTGAAGTGTGTACTTTCCCAATCAAATTTTTTTTAAAATATATTTAATTTATTGCTTTCGATGAATAAAATATTTTGAAAAAGCATATTTTTGACAGCTTATCATTAACAAACATATGTCTTTGAAACAATATTGAATTTCATATGCAGTACTTAAGAAACTTTCTAAACACTACTTTTTTCACTATCACTGGGAGGAGATTCATTTATTATTCCTATTTTTATCTAATTCAAAGTTTTACTCAGTAAAAGAACACTATAAAAGCAACATATCTTTGGAGCTTATTGAGAACAGTGAAGAAATACGTACAATAATCTTTTAAAATAGCACATTGAATGTCATTGTCAAAATTTAAGCTTGCAATGGGTATATAATAGTTCCATAATTTTTCATTTCAACTATACTATGTTTTTTTGGCTAAAATTAGGACTAAGAAGCATGTTCTATTTCAGTACTACTATTTTATTGCTTCTAATTAAAAGCTTTGAGAGTAACACATGTTTAACAGCTTTACAAAAGATACATGTGTAAATAATCTTTGAAACAGCACTGCCTCCATTCTGAAAAATTAAGTTTGAAATAAGCTTGTTGATTTGATGATTATCAATTTCAACTCTACTAGTTTTTTACTGAAACCAGGACAAAGAATTATGTTCCATTTTATTATTATTTTATTGCTTCTAGTTCACAAGAAACTTTGATTTTAAAAAATTTTTCACAACTTATCAAAAGTTGTGTAGTAATCATTGCAACAGCATTGATTTCACTTTCGAATACTAAGTTTAAAATGTGACAGGACAAAGAATTATGTTCTAGTTTACTATCTTTTATTGCTTCTTGTTTACAAGAAACTTCGATAGTAATATATTTTTTAACAACTTATAAAAAGATGTGTAGCAATCGTTGAAACAGCACTGATTTCCTTTTTAAAAAATTAAGTTTGAAATGGACGTAAACATATTTAAGAATATAAAATTTTTAAAATTATATGAAACATAAAATTTTCTATTCCACAATGTGGCTACCTTTTCCAAAGAAGTTAACCATATTCCAAATCTCGGCATAAATAAGTTACTATGCGAATAATAAAAATCAAATAATAAAGTTTTAGGGTTTGAATTCCATCGACCTGACAGAAGACCGAATATATTTTCCATCTTTTTTTTTTACGGAAAACTTGGAGGGAAAAAAAGCACATTTTTGACAGGTGACCGGATGTTATGGAATGTCAAAACAACTCCATACCTGATTTTCCTATTAAAAGAAATAAACACAAAAAAATGTATTTCGTATTTTAACAAATCTGAACTATTACATACCTCTTCACTTCCACCAAAGTGTTTTCGGACAATGTCCCGTAATTGATTTACAGAAATAATCCCACATTTTAATTCATCACATAGATCAAAAACTTCTCGGAGTTGTTTCACTAATTCCTCGTCGGCACTGGCCATTTGTTAAGCATGGTTTTTAGCACATTCTTCAAAAATTAACTTTAAAAAAATTGCAGACAAATTCAACAGAAAAACACTGAAACACACACAATCAAAACATAAACAAAGCTTATGGACGGATATTTACAGAACTCAACTAAAATCTATCTGGCTTGACGGCTAATACATCACTACTTATTCTCTGAAAGCGTTCTTCGCTCGCTTGCTTGCTGCTCCGTTGCGTTTTTTTTTCAGGCAGGTTTGCTATATTTTCTACATTTCGCCAATTTTGGCGAAAAACACTAATCTTTTATTAAATGTTTTCTCCACAATAAAAAATTTTAAAAATTATAAGGAAAAAAAGCTAACTGTTCATAAAAAACTTTGGATAGTATTATTTTATTAAAAAAAATTCATAATGTATTTATATAACGCATAAAAAAGTTATGACTTATATTTTATTAAACATTTAAAAAGTGACTATCAATTACACTTACAACATTTTTTTTAAGAAAAAGTATAATCATTCATTTTACGGATGCTTTACATACTCATTAAACTTGTAATCAATAGTTTAACTTCAAAAAATTAGATAAACTGCTTAATTTTTTTCAATTTTTTTAAAAATTTAAAGAATTAAAAAATTTTCAATCTTTAAGGCTTTTTCATTTTGACATGTTTCAAAAACGTTAAAACATTACAAAATTTTTTCTTGGTGCTTATAATATTCATCTTGACAGTTTTGTGCATTCGTTTGTTGATATATCAATTAGAACATTTTTTATTGGTTATTTTGTAAAAAAGTAGAAGAAAAAAAAGGTAAAAAATTCCTGTTAGGTATATATAACCTGCTGTAAAAATTGTAATACCTCATAAAATACTTATTCCATGCACAGTTCAAAAAAGTGTATTATACTTAAGATTAAAAAGTTTACTTCAAAGCTTTATTTTAAATAGAAAAAATTCCTTTGGGATTTAATTAAGATTAAAACACAAAATTATCATCTATGAGAAAAAGCACTTTAAAGTCTGTCTGCTGATCAAGTTTCTGTTTTAGAGCAATCTAAAATCATTTATAACTTTTCTAGAAATGTAGATAGAGAGATGATTTTTTTTCAGTGCATTTGAAATAGTTTGAAGTTTCATTATAAGCAATAAAAAAATATCGATATTTTGGTCATTTTTTTGGGTACTGTGGTGGTCACAGTAGGTGGTCAACAAATTTCATTATCATAACAATTTGCCTGAAAAACTTCGCAATATTAGTTTGTTTTCGCTGATATTACAGATTTTTCCTCTAGAACGTTTTGTTCCGGTGAGAATAACTCATGAATTTTCCCTTTATGAATTAAGGTTTAGTTTGAATTTAAAATTGCAATTTCACAACAATCAGGTTTTTGTAAGGTCTATTATAGTATCATATTAACGTATTTTGTGCTAAATTGTATGAAACACATTTTTAAGAATTGCTAAATGATGCGAAACATTTCATCTTCAGAATTTTCAACAAAAAAAAATCTAAATTTGAATAATTAAGAAGTTAGAACAGTTGCAGGTTAGTTTAGAACGCCAAGTCCAGATCATAAACGTAGCTTCATGGCGGGCTAGGAGTATATCCATCAGACGATGATTTTCCAAAAGTAAAGAATTTTTCTTCATCTATTTTGGGTAAATAAAAAAAATTTAAAGTAATAAAATTTTTCAATGGTTTATGATTATAAATTAACAAATTCCTTTCGTAATTATCCCTTTATTAAATGTTTTATTTCTCATTTTTTCTTCATTTTATGTCGAATTGTTCTATTCGGACGCAATAATTTAAAAAAGAAATTAATATTAGTACAGGTCGTATCGCGGAAATTGGCATTTTTAGGATATGAGACCATTCTCTAAATTATAACTTTAAAATTACATTCATTATTACCAATAAAGACAAAAGTTATTCCGCTTTCATTTTTTCTTATTAAAACTTGTTACGATTTAGAAACGTGTTGCTCAAACATTTTTGTACTAAAAAATTCCGTCTTTTATAAACTACAAAGCTACATATTCCACCTACAGTTTATAAGCAAAAATAGTCTACTCTAAAGATATGTATTTAAAATCAAAACAGTTGTGTCAAAAAAAGTTTCGTTAAAAAGAACTTTATACTAAAATTTCTCAAGAGAAACACAATATTTTTTTAACACAGATTCATATTTCTGACTCAAATTACAATAATTGAAAAGCTACGTAATTCAGTCCACAATTTATAAACAAAAATAATCTACTCTATATCTGTGTATTTAAAATCAAAATAAGTTCTCCAAAATAAGTTCATTATAATGAACTTTCAATGAACTTTCTCCAGAGTAACTCATTATTTTTTAACACAGAGTCCTATTTTTTACTCAAATTATAATAATTACAAAGCTACGAAATTCCGCCCACAATTTATGAACAAAAATAATCTACTCTAAAGATATGTATTTGAAATTAAAATAGTTTTCCAAAATGGGTTCATTAGAATGGACTTTAGACTTAACCTGCTACTTAATTGAGTAATATTATATGAAATTTTTTTAAATGAAAGGCCTTTTTAGCATTTTTATTAATTTCTGGTATCTATATCAATACAAAAAAGAGAAAAACGAACATCACTTCCCTTATAGAATTAATTTTAATAAAGCAAATCATGTACGACTACCGGGTTCTTCCTAACAAGAGAATAGTTCTGCAGCCAATTTTTAAAAATTTCTGTCTTGCACAAATGCACTTTTTGTTGATTACACATCTGTCGTACTCTCTTATTTTCCTAAAAGGCAACTTACAATTGAAATTAACATTTACAGTTATTAATGACATCAAATGATATTACACTTTATTTTATTTTATTACAAAAACTTGTTACGATTTGGAAACTTAATTTTCAAGCATTTAATGTTCTAGACATTTCTGTCGTATATGAAGAGAAGGTAATTCGCAGCCTACAATCTGCTCCAGATATGTAATTTAACTGTTTTTCTAAGGTCAGTTTAAGTGCCCTTCACTTGATGCAAAGCGATGATTAAGGTTAAACTTTATATATCATCTTGCTGTGAAGAATTATTTGGGCTTCAAAACGAACAAATAACTTAAATATTTTAAAAGATGCTACTTTTTTTTAAAAAATTTGCCAATTTTAATTTATTTATTTTTTTTGCGACATCTTTCCAACTAGATGAAAATTATCAAAGTCGCTGCCTTATTCTCAGGTTTTTGCAAATTTTTTGAGCCCAGGTAATGCAGCATAGGAGTAAGATTTTAAATATTAAAAAATTAGTCCACAAAAGCTTTTCTTTTTTACGAAACTGGGACGTTTCTCCATATTTCGCCGTTTTCAAAATAAGTGTAGACAGCGCTGGCTAAAAATTGGCTAAACGTGATCTAATACTACAGTCCTAAGTAACTGCTCCAAACTTACAGTAGTTGCAAACATATTTTTCAAAAAAAAAACATCATTCCATGTGACGGAGCCCTTGAAAAACAGCCTTAAATCAAAACAGTGGTCCATAATAGAAAAAAAAGTAGTTCGTTATAACGGACTTTTACTGTACTTTCTCTTGAGAAATACATCTATGTTTTATGATAGATTGATACTTTTGATTGAAATTATAAATAATAGCCAGCAAAATCTGATCCAAATAGTTAAACTAAGAAAGCACTCAACCCATATCACTATATCCCCCCATATCATATATCACTTTATCTCTAGAACTATTTTAGCAATTCAAAAAATATTAGTACAGGATTAAAAAAAATGAATAATTTATTTAAACGTAATTTTTGACTTGAAGCATTTTTTTTACTTGAAAAGAAAACAAAATTTTACATTGCAAAAGGCTTCTTTTCCAATTCAAATCCTTTAAAAAAAATCCAGTAAAACATTTTACTTATTGTTGTTATTGTAGGCCATTGAAGCCCTGGGGGTGCGATTGTTCTTGTTTCCCAGTGGCGCCATCTATGGCAAAGAATTCGACTTCTGCAGCACCCATACGTCACACCTGTGTATAGGGCGAACCCATTCATACACCCATCCATTCATCCACAGATCGTAATTTTGATTTAAACCGGAGAATGATCAATCTCCATTCCAGTACCCTTAGAAGTATAATTTGATATGGGAACATGGAGAACTTAATGACCCGACAGATTAACGTCCACCACTCATTATTTTTTACACAGGGAATCTCTGGCAGCCTGATTCGAACTCCCGTACGTACGTAACGAACTTAAGTCCAATTCGAACGAAATTCAGGGGCCTACGAAAAACTGGGGAGAAAAAAATTTTTTGACGAAAATAATTTAGCTTTAAAAACAAGTGTATTTTGCACAAAATTATGGAGATACAAATAAAAATATAATATTTTTCGGTAATAAATTATTTTGCAGAATCTCATGATCTAATATAATACTTTTTTGCGATTTTTGGCTTCAACGAAATCTTGTATTATGCTGTCGAATTCCAAACTACGCAAAATGTCGTATTCAATAGACATAAGTGCGAGCGATGCCAAACGATCTTGATTCATTGTTGAACGCAAATAATTTTTTATCAATTTTAATCTGGAGAAAGATCTTTCTCCTTCTGCATTTGATCCAAGAATCGACAAATATATTCTTAATGCAATGTGAACGTTAGGAAAAGTATTCACAAGTTTATCTTTAATTTGAGCCTTCAACATTTCTTGTGCAGATTTATGTTCATATAAATTTGAAAATAGTAAAAATTCATCTACAAAGTTTTTCTCTAAATCGGATGAGTAAATTTTCACCAAATTTTGCGCTTTTAGTTTAATCTCAGATTCTGACAAATTTTTGTGTAATTTCCTTGTAATTCGGGTTCGATAAAACATCGATTAATGACACTTTTTGGTCGATCCAGAAAACTGGGAAATTCAGACATCCGGGATAGCGATGGTCCCGAGCATCCCAGATAATTGGTTCTCTACTGTATAAATATTTCTTGTAATTAATCTCACTATCAATTTCACTGTTTTCTTTGCTGGTTTGTTGTTGTATTGTTGACGTGAAGTGTTTACATAGTTATCGATCGAACTAATCATAATGGTATTATCGATATCAACTGCAATATCGGCAGTATGTCGGTATTGCAGATAAAGTTCGATAAACAAATTTGTAAATTAAAATCCATATTAATAAAAATGTAGAAAAAAATATGCAAGAAAATTTTAGCATATATTTTGAAAAGAGGG